TTTCGTAAGTGACGTTACAAGGCAGCGTAAGGATGAGTTACGACATAGTGAATTTTTCTTTGATCTTTGTCTCAGCTCCAATATTTCTAAGTAGTTATTGATCATCCATGGTTCACTCAATGCGAGTCCGCTTCAAAAACTATGTTTCGAGCTTGAATTCAGCTGCGTGCGGTCTCGTAACGTCCAGTCGTCGTCGCCTCTCCGCCATGGCGAAGCCGTGGGTGACTGTCGATGTTCCTCATGTGTTCGAAGATGAGAATCCTTAAAACGTCCACACCTGAGAATATTTCGTCATCTGCACAAGATTTTCATGCCGTTTTATCAGCCCGATATTGCTTCCAAGTGCTGACAGCAATGCATTGCGATAGTGGACCACAGTAACACGCAGTAAATATTTACTTGAATACTTGGATCGTCCGTCTTCACCAGTTGTGCGGAGTCCATCACATTTGCCATTCGTTTCTTTCCCTCGCAAATGTCGTCCGTGGTGGCGTATTTGTTCAAGCATGGTAGCGGGTACACGCAGTAAATAGTAGGAAAGAAACGAAATATCAGTGGTACTCATAGAACGATAGTCCAGAGATTTTGCTACAATTCACTCTCGTTCACAACCCCTAAAAGAGTCTTATTGCTGAGAAATTATTTCTTTCACTAGCAAAAACCAGAAAGTTGGCAGCCGACAAGATTTGCTCGTATTCTCTTCGGATGGCGCGCAAAACGAACCGTTAGTTAAAAGTGTTAGTTAAAAGTGTTATGGCCCGCAGCTATGTTATTTCATTATACTTTATTCATGTTATCGTGAAAAGTTGTTCACTTCCTTCCTTATCTTTCAGGGATACCGAACCGTCTGCCCTTCTATCCGCATTTGCCGGTTCTTTCATTGCTGTTTGGCCATGGTTGAACTCCTGAAATAGAAGTGTTCGAAAAACAACTTCGTCCCTAGTAATTTAAAAACGAAGGGATATGGTATTTGTGTGATTTTATGTATTTTTTGGTTTTTTATTTCATGATATCTCAGATCATTCTGACTCCTCGGCAGATATTTCGATGTACCGCTTGCTTGCCATCGCCAAGGATTTCTTCAACTTCAAGGAATTAATGTTGAGGTTGACGTAAAAGTTTTTGCACGTTTTTCTATTATTTTCCCCTCCATCTATCTACTTTTTGTACGAAAATATCATAATGCAACTACTAAAAGCTTAGATTTTATCCATTTTCAATTTTTTCGACTTCCTTTTAGAGCTCATTTCTCTCCTTTTACTCCTAAGGTGAGGTTTTTCTTCCAGTGGATTGTCTGCATGGACTGTATTTGTCTCTGTATCTGTAGGTCTTTTCAATATTATGGTGAAGAAACAGCATAGAGTTTGTCCCTTACGATATTCGCGACGCTGCTTTTTTTCGATGACTGGCGATTACCGCTATTTTTCCCTAACTGGAACCATTTAGATCGTTTAAACACTATATCTGTAGAACTAACAGTGCATTGGAGACAACATCGTGTTTTTTCAATGGGACTGTTGTTAAAATCTGAAAATGCTAACTATGGGGAACGTGCGCATTTAAATCAATGCGTGGTATCTATGAACTTGCAGTAGCAACGGTTTTCATTAGCATACCACCGAATTTGAGAACGCTTCATTTGTTCTGCATTGTTTTACTTTTTATTTCTCTTGGGATTCTAGTTATTTATATCCTTATTCTATTTAACTTTGTCTTCATATTACTTGCTTATATGTTTGGATGGCACATCTTCACTGGGTGTACAGGGTTTTAACATAGGCTCCATTTTCCGGAGTCTTGCTGGTTTAGCCGTTGTGGTGGAGCTGAAAGAGCAGTGGCTAGAAGTGCCGCGTGATGCACGCATGTAAGTGACTCTAGTACACAGTGGAGCAACACTAATTTCTCTGGGCTCGGCATATTGGTGCTAATATGCCCTGGAAAAGTTTTCACATATTTACAAAACGCAGAGACTGCCTGAACGCAGAGTTCCATATTATCCATTCCAATGTTCGCATAACGTTTTGGAGGGTGGCCGTAAATAATTTTGGCGAGATGGTATCGCCTTGCCTAACTCCTCTTTTGACGTCAATGTTAATATCGTTGTAGAATGGTGATATCTTGGTTGTGAAATTTTTGTACAGCTCACGAAACATCTTTATGTACTGAGTAGGGACTCCTTGACTATCAAGCGCTTCCATGACTGCTTTTATTTCAATTGAGTCAAAGACCATCTTTAAATCGATGAAAGTGAGACAGAGCGGTCTTCGGTACTCTTGCGATACTCAAACGAGTCTTGTTATCGTGTGGATGAGGTCCATCGTTCTAAATCCTTTTCGAATTCCTCCTTGCTCACATGGCTGTCCTTCGTCCAGTGTTCTGCCAATCCTGTTTAGGATGACTCAAGTGAAAAGTTTGCAGACCACAGACAGAAAGCAGATTGGTCGGTAATTGCCAATATCGTATAGGTCACCATTCTTGAACAATAGCACGGTCTTCTTTGATTTCCACGGAGCAGCGACCTCGAATTCAAACAGATAACGTGTGTGGAGCCGGGCCGGTGTGTTTACGAAGACTGGTGGAGGGTTTTTTAGATGTCCAAATCTTATTATTTCCGGACTTCGTTTGTTGAACTCTTTAACGACGAAACAGCATTTCGTGTTTCAGAAGGGCCAACAGCTGCTAAATATCCATTCACCCTTATTTCCTATAGTGACAGGAGGATGTGGCTACTGAAGAAATCCTAGTAGCAGTTGTGAATGTTTTCCCATTGCATTTCTGGAAACTATAACTGTTCTGCCTGTTTCGGAGTATAATGATCTTGGTCCTATAATTGTCGAAGCTTTAGGAGGCTTTACAATTGTTTTTCTAGCCTCTGCAGCTTGGACTATAACTGTTGCTCTTCTCTCTTTGTCTTTTTTAATCACCGTCTGCATTGTTTTGCAAGTTCGGTCGTGAGTTGGCGGGTTGTCTGCAGCTCGTTCAATTCCATGATGGCGTATCAGCTCGAGTGATTCTGGAAACAGACGAATCGTGGTGACTTTCAAACTCTGAACTCTCAGCTTTCACACCACTAGCGAGATGTTACCGAGAACGATATCTGCGTTACAGCCGACTAATGATTTGAATAAGTCACAGTGTATGGTGGTTTTCGAACTTTGTTTTTCGAATTTAGTGGATTTTTGTCCATTCCACATGAATGGAATCTTGTACGTAGTATGCGATGTCCTGATCCTTTGTAGAATTTTGGGACAATAGCGACATCGTCTGGGCAAGGCGTGCGATTTACTATAATGTGGTCTATTTCGTTATGGTACTCTCCATTGGGAGATTTCCACGTCCAGCGTTGAGGGTGGGGCTTCTGGAATTGCGAGTTGCCATGGATATAGTCCTAGTCGTCGTTATAAAGTCGGACAGCAGCTCACCTTGTTCGTTCTATTCTAATCCGTTGACTTCAATGTGACTTTCTTCAGACGTTTTTCTTGGCCTAATCTTGGCATTGGAATCTCCAATGATGACCTTGAAGAATGTGTGGTCTTCTCTGTAGAACTCCAAGTCCATATAGAACGCTTCGACTTCTTCTTCGCCATAGTTTGATGTCGGCGCGTAAACCACGAAGATTGTCAAAGCCGGAATTGATCCACATGTGTTCAATAGTAGAAATCCGATTCGGGTTGTTAGTTGTTCGAATTAATCAATGTTCATAGCCATACTCGTTGACCAGAACACCGACCCGACGCTGCCGACTCCTCTATATATATACATATATGTATATATAATATATATATATATATATACGTATATGTACGTAGGCATACATATATATATGTGTACGTATATATGTACATATATTTATATAAATATATATATATATAATATAGATACCTATACGTGTATGTGCATATACATGCACATATACATGCATATATTTGTCTCCATATGTATGTGTATACATACGTATTTATATGTGTATATATATATATATATATATACTTGTTTGGATACATGGATGACCCGTCTTCACTGGTTATGCGGGCCTCAGCATAGTTTTCGTTTTTCCGAAGTTTTGCTGATCCAGCCACTGTGGTTCCCTGGGGTCCCGAGGCCAGCATGGCCAAAGTCTGTTCTAGGTCTTCATCACCACACGCAGACGCCACCTTTGTGGATTAGAGGAGATTTGCGATCATGCGACTAGTACCATGTTAGTGCGGTGGTGGATCTTGGTATTAGCTTACTTTTGGCTGAGTTTCCTAATGGAAACGCTGGATTACTCAGCTTAGGAGAGCCTGCCTGGTGGGTGAATCCTCCCGCTTTACATCGCAGCCCGAAACCCAGAAGCACCTCCCAGACACAATAAGGCGATAAACCGTTGGGTGGATATATATATATATATATATATATATTCACCTATATACGTATACATGTTTGTATATATACAAATATATATGCGTATATATATGCATGTATATGCATATATGCGCTTATATATGTATATTGTTCTTCTTAGTTTTGATAGTATAGTGTAGTGTGGTGTTAGTTCTGCTCATTAGAATCGTACGCAACTCCTTTGTGAGTGAAATTATTCCTTTTCTGTATGCGTGTATTACTACTAGCGCTATGTTTTTGTTTTAATATTAGATATAAAATATTTAAGTCACGCAACAAAGGTATTAATAATGAGAGGCTGAAGCATAGGAAATCTAAAATGCTTATGGTTCAACTACCTCCAATAGGTAAAATTTTAGTTACGACTGGATGTTAAATCAGAGTCGGTCAAATTGTTGTAGTGGTTTTATATGGCTCGAATAAAATCAAGCCGTCAGTCAACGCTGCCACTGCTACCAGTGGTTGGGGAAACACAATCTGCCACCGTTTGCAAAAATAACTGTAATATCTCGTTGAGTTCTATCAGTCAAAGAAAAATGACAATTAAATATGTGGCGTAATATGGGAAAGCCTTTTTGATTGACAAAACTTCTTTTCTCAATATCCACATCTATAGCATGCGGACGGTAAATCGCGAAAAGTCCATTGTTCTGCAGTGCACCTGTGGTGTTGGTCTGCCAAGTTTTGGACTCGATTTTTTATCGGCTGGCTTCTTACTCATTATTAGAAGCGATTTTCTCATCTCCTGCCTGGCTAGTTTTGGACATGAAGTGCGGATTCTGTAGGATGTCAACACGGTGAGACCTTTCAACGTTGTCAATTTCATGTTCGTCTTCTCTATCTGTCTGAAATGAAATCGACATTGACCTTTTGTTTGATCGCCACTCATAGAAATCAAAGTTTTCCTCATTGTTTTACCCACAATATTTAGCTGGCCGTTTCTGAAAAAGACACCAAGCGCTTTTGGGTAGTGAATAAAATTGTCATTGTAATTTAAATATTAGGCTACGATTCAGCTGCACAGTACTAACTGTTGAATTGTAGAATTACTGAATGCAGAGATCTGAGTCGTTAATTGGTAAATATGGTCTTTCAAAGACCTGAAACCAATCGAGCTTTTTCATCTTTTGTAATTTCAGTTCAGTGTGCTTATTAAGATGGCGATTTCAATCGTGAGTGTTTTCGTGGAAGAAATCCTCAATGATTGACAAGCTCTTACAGCGAAGTGTTTCTCCTGACTCATCCATACACTTAGAAGTCCCGAAAAATGGTTGATAGTACTTCTGACAAACTACTAGGAAGGTCGCTCGGTTCGGGTGTAGGAGAATCCTTTACAAGTTTTGTTTGCTGAATTGGTTAAGCTTTATCCAAACTCTTGATGTGCGTGATACGGTACTCCTCATGAGCACCTTGTGGAGTAAATTCAAAAACGCCATAGGTTACCATTGGTCATTGATGCCTTTTTTTTGAACATCATTCCTTACATGGGGTGAGAGAATTGTATGTATCTTCTGGTTTCAAACCAGAGACAAGCAAGAAACAGAGACTATCTTCCTTCAGATTCTCCCGTTTTCGTGTTCTGGATGGTAACTCTGATCACGGTGAAGAATTCATGAGTTATTTCCCTCTAGTGAGTTTTGGAGTTTGGTACGGGTGTAGTAGAACAAGAGCACTTATAATAAAACTTTAGCGTATTTAATTCCATGTAGTGACGGAAGCAGGATTCTTTAACGCAACTTGGTGATGAAAATAGCGAATATGGGCTTAAGTTCAGTATCACTGTAATCGCTATCGGTAGCTGCACGAGAAATCCCGTCAATGGTTCTTATACTGATTTCTTTAGAGTGGTCTGTAGCAACTTTTTTCTTCGTTTCTCCTTGTAGATACTCCTGCCTCTATTTTTTAGGATTGGCATGTATTGTCCATCGATTGTGGAGTGTGCTGTATTTGGATCAGATTTCAAGTTCGTTTTACTTTTTAGAGCTGATTGATGTTTGTTGTTAATAGAAATGTTGTCTGAACTCCATTTAAAATGATTTTACAAGTTAAGAATTGCTTTTTCCTTTCTGCATGATAGTAAGAGTCGTTCTTCATATTACGATTGAGTAGATTTTTCTCACAGAGGCGATGATTAAGCCGATCAAAGAACGATGACAGTGAGGAGGTGTAGTTGCACACTGGATCCTGTTTTACAACTTTGATGTCGGCCATCTGATTAGGTTATTCCTCGGAGAATTTGTTTTCTTCTGGAAAACCAACTTTCTACGGCATATTTGTGCTGTGAACAAGTTTCCCACGAGACGATTTCCATTCCAGTTTGATTTGCTTTTTCGGATCATCTGGTCTAGCCATTGTGGTTCTCTGGAGTCCCGAAGTCAGCCTGGCCAAAGTCTGCTCCAGGTCGTCACTACCACAGGCAGTCGCAGCCTTTGTGGATCAGGAGACTTGCCATCAGGAGTTATACCACCAATGCGAGGAGCCACCACCGTCCTGGTATCAAACTAGTCGCATGGTCTCGGAGGATTGAGTAGTGAAAGTGCATCAAAGCATCCGTATTGTTACCAATGACAATGACAACATAGTAATTATATGAACGAAAGTGACGCTCTCATTAGTGTTATTCCTACTGGTAATATTGAAAGGTGTAAACCATTCGGCTTGGATTTTTCTCTCAGGGATGGACTATGCGTTCGAAATTAGTACGGATTGTAGTGATGATTAAATGCATGCGTAATGGTTTACCGGGGGCTACTGGTGTATTAGGTAAGGGTTTTTTCCATGCAACAAGTCTGAAACCATTTTCCTCACCAGCTCAGTGGAATGGAGTGCTTTGTTACCTTGGACTCGACAAAATATATGTTGCAAAATAGACAAGCACTGCGCTACACGAGCCCCTTTGCTGCTGAAGACGTTACCACGTTCGTAGTCCGCATGGAGAAGAAAGTACTGTAATATGCAAAGTCAGTAGAAAGCGGGCAAGAAGTGTTTTGAAGAATGCTCTCTCCAGTTTCAATATAATCAAACAGGTCTTATTCATAATTGAACTGTTACTTGCCCTACTTTCAGGCATCACTGAGCAATGATATTAAAGTAGCGGAGAACCTGGAGACGTCACAAGTGCTTGATGAAGCTCAGAATTCTGAACAGAAGCCAGGTGAGAGCGGAACTACACGGACGGTAAGAGATGAGGCCATCCTGCAGTGTATCAAAATGACACTTGAATGTCTGCCATCGTACACACGACAGAAACCTCATGTTGATATTCTTCGTTATGTGTTTATAACCATTTTCGATAAGTGTTTCGATAAGCGTCCAACTGAACGTGGTCAGTCATAAGTAAATCTGAGTTGTACCACCCGTTTCCTAACTTTTTAGTCGTATTCCAGCATATAAAATTTGTCATTTTAGACGGTATGAAGAATTACAGTTGTTGTGGAGGAATTTGTATTGAATATTCATGAGAATTTGGTCGCCCATTCTTGGCATCTACAGAGTAGGTCCTGGTACTTTGTTCTCAGGAGTGTTTCAAAATTATCGACACGTTCTTAAATGCTTACGTATTTAAAGTGAAGGTTTGTTGTTGTTTGATTAATCGAGTAAGATGTTGTAAAATATGGAGTGATTAGCTTTCGTAACTATCAAACCACAGAAACTTTGTCTCAGGAAACACGGAACACTTTATTTTTGGTGACTTGTTTACTCTTTTATACGTTTTTCATCTCCACTCAGGCATTTATCCCTCATTTCATTTGCTTTTCTGTTAATCATAGTTTTGCATTACAATATACTTTTGTTCCTTTTGAACTATTTTCCTTGTATTGGTAATGCGGACATTAGTCATTGGACGAAAAGAAAAACGGTTTTCAAGATTTCAAAAACTTTAAAAAAGCCATGCTTAACTGCTGTTGGCGGGTTCACGAGTTTTCTGTGTAAACTCCAAAGATGGGCATTTCAAACAGGTAAGGATAATAATTGAGCGAATCGATACGAAGATCCACCACCGTCCTGGTATCACACTAGTCGTACGGTGGCAAGTCTCACTCTGATCTACAAGAGCGGCAACTGCCTGTGGTGGTGACAACTTGAGGCAGACTGACCCGGCTTGTCTCGGGACTTCAGGGAAGCACAATGGCTAAACTAGCAAAACACCAAAAAGTGGAGACTATGCTGGGGCACGCAGGAATACTAAGGGCAGTCCGTCTAAGTATCCAAGTAAGCAGTGATAATAATTCGTTTCTTCGAAGGGCTAATATTCAATCATATTTTACCAGCTATTGTAGGAGAACATGTATCAAGCGGATTAGTCTAAAGTTCTATCATGCTAGCAATCGATTTCGAGACACCATGCATTGATTTCATCGCATGCATCTCCCGACTGTCGATGACGCAAATTGTTTATTGGGTTTACATATTTTTCTTTGCATTTAGCCGACACCTTACACAGCACAGGCGTACTGAGTGTCATAGTCTTTGAAAGGAACTTTAAGAAAAAGGATAAAGTTCTCAACGTTGATCAATCGCTGAGAGATGCGCCATCCATTCAACGTCACTAAGCATAGTTATAGTTGACTGAATGCATGTCTGGTCTATATAATGAATTTCCCACGGTGGTCTACCGATGTATCGAGGCAGTGCTACTATCCTCCGAGATAGGTCTGCTACCAATTTCCAGATTCTAGAGGCATGGAAAGCTTGAGTCTGTGGCGCGGGATCTATCCCACGTGTATTTCAGGGCGCCTCCGAACACTGACCTACATGCGTCGATCGTTGCAATACCCTATCCCTATTATATTACATACCTACTTGGATACTTTGGATACTTGGATGCGCATCCTCACTAGTTGTGCATGCTCCAGCATAATCTCCATGTTTTTGGAGTTTTGCCCGAGTTCATCCCAAGCAAAGTCTGCCCTAGGTCGTCACCACCACAGGCGGTCGCCGCGACTTGTTTTTGGTATCAGGACGGTGGTGTTGTGAAGTCCTGCAGGGGGTATGAATCCTGCTGCGGTACATCGCAGTCCAACACCCTGGAACACCTCCCAGTCACGGTGAGGTGGTAAACCGTTGGGATAATTTCAGAATATTTGTGAACTATGAGACTGATTTCACGATAGGATATAGAGATGAGTGGAAGCAAAGGCCAAGATTTCAATTCTACATCCTTAATACTACTATTCAAGGGGCAGATATAACAGTGGTAATCATGCCGACCATCACGACCACGGCGCTTGCTCGATTCCGCTACAGGCTAACCAAGCATCTCGTCTCTCCTGGGTCAATAAATCGGTACCTGACTCGACCGGAAAAAAAATCAATCTCTTCAACCCAATCGGGAACGCTCTAGTCCGGCTATCTCACGATTCCAGTGAGAATCGACTAATCTAGCATTCTACGACATTCAAGATAAAGTGAAAACCTTTGCAGCAACCTAAACCACACGTAAAAGTTGGATAACCTTAGTGAATGATCTTATTCTCTATCAAAAAAGGTGAGTGCATGAGTAGTGAAGGGCTGACATACCGCAGAAATCCATGTTAGCGGATCAGCTGTGTGTGATGGTAAAGATCTTTTAATGTAGAAGTGTTTTAATAACGCGTTTTAGAATTCTGAAATTTATTGTAACTGATAACAAAATCAACAATGACTAACACAGCAGTGTTATAAATATCGTTCCAACATGTGTTTAAATTGTTCAGTTTACACGAGGTTGATGAAAAAACATTCGGTTAATGTTTGGAGGTCTTCGTCTTCCTCAGAGCTGATGATCCGAGTCGATGTTCACAAGCACTCACGACGTGGTGTCTTCGTCGTCGTATAGAGTCAGAATCTTATACAGCACGATTGTTGTTGCCATGATTGTCCAGTGAGTAGAAGTTGGTACCATTATCAGCCAGCAATTAATGAGCTTAGCGAATTGTCAAATCGACAAAGCGTGACCCGATTTGATCTAATTGCTGGGCTTGCTGAGGTGTGAAGGTCAGAGACGAAACCACATCCATGGATGGCGATCGACCCTGTAACCATCTACTTGGTTATTACATGGTAAAAATGAAATCTACTTCCAACAACTTCTAATTATTATTAGCTAAAACTAAGGGCAAAAATAGTCCCTTAACCACAAGAATTCAAGCAACACACCTGACCAACGCCGAATTCTTGCCCAGAAATTTCAGGTGACTTGGTGTTTCTGCAGTCGCATGCGGTGCTGTTGCTGTAGCCATCCACCCGATATATTATGGGAACAAGCAGACCGCTTGGCCCTCGAATGGAACTCTGAGGCGGCGGATAGTTGCCTGGTTGAAGATCAAAAGGTCCTTCACCCATATTCCACTGCAAGCTGCCTTCTGACATCTGGAGAATGAAACAGTTTCAGCGAGCTTGCTAATCCACTTCCGAAAACCAGGGAAGCCTTATCTCCTTCCAATGACTAGACTACTTTTGTGGAATTTTCTTCAACATTATATTTTGAGTTGACGAATGCAGCGAAAAGCTGTGTTTTCTTAAATTCTTTAAACACCATCTGCTTCTCGTCTGTCTTCGCCATCCCGAACCGATTCATTACTTCATCCATTGGAGGAGAAGTCACAGTGAGCGCATTCTGCCCAATAGGAATTTCATTGTTGCTGGTGTTATTGTTGTTGTTGCTGTCGTTGTTGAGGCGGCATCATCTTCGAAGCTAATAGGCGAAGTTTTAGGAAATATACTCATTGCAGTACAAATTTTATAGGTGGATAATACTTTACACATGAATCTACTCCTCAGATGTTGACATTTACCGTGCTGTGAACGTAACGGAATTGATGGTATTGATTGAAATTGACTTAGCAGGGTTCTACCAGGAACGTCTGACATATTCTAACCCTTCGATAAATTTTGCCTCCAAAACAAAGTTAATAAACCAATTTCTACGTGACTCACTTTTATATGTGGTCCAGCGAATGATTTATTATCTGGTGGTATTGTTGACATTGAAGTTGCCGAGGTAACGCTTATCGCTGACAAGATGCAACATAGACCTGTAAGTGGAGTCAATTTTATAAATTTTGCATAACCTAGTGAAGAGACGTGTTTTTAATGAGATGCCGCGTCACATGAAAGGCAGCTTCATTGTTACCTCTTAAACCAAAGGTTTTATTCCCATTGGCAACATGAGGCTATTCCACAGCGCTTAGCAAATTTTCGTTGAAGTTTCAGGTGAGCTGAAGCACAACGGAATTTGAGGATGTTCATAATGACGTACGCTCTAGTAGGTTAGTTACCCTTGACTTGAGAGTTAACGCGGCAAACCAAGGTTTCGATCACATCACATTAGGAGGTAGAAGGTGGCCATATAAGCAAAAATACTAACGAAACTAAGTAACACACCTTTGTGCATAATACCACCACTTGCTTTCGGTGAACGTAAAAGGTTTTTGAGAAAAAATTTCGATCTGCACCCACTGTGTGTAACATAAGAGGAAAAATATGTGCTATATGCTTAAGTCTACGAATTCATTAATCCTTTCTCACGGCAATTACCAAGTAAGAAATGACGTTATATAGAAAAGATGACCAAATTCTAAAATGAGATTATACCACTAGTTCTGGTTAGATTCTAGACAGAATGTCTAACCTATTCACGAAATTATGGACACCGTAGTCTCCATTTTCAGTTCAGTACATTCCGGAACATTTTTGCCCTACCAGGCATATTTCTTCAAAAGCTAGTCGGAAGTGAATCAAAACAATGGTAGAGAAACCAGAGAAGCTATTCTCTACACTTAATAATTAACAAAAAAAACCCACGTTTTTCCAGAGAAGTTCATCAAATGGTAATTTGACTAGCAACTAACTGTTATCTAATTCTGATTGGCGCGGTCAATTTGTGGAATACTCGTATATAAAAACACCGAAATAGCCTCAACATAGGCTGCCAGCTACTTCGAAGTGCCGACACCAACGTGCTTGCATGATGGACTGTAATAACAGATAGCAAGTAGTAGCATACACATAATTCTTTAGGTGTATACATTTTTCAATGAAGCACTCCAGAAAGAAAGGAATGCGAACTCTGCATTCCTGCTACAGCTAGAAACACTTCTTCAAAAGTTTCCTTTAAAAGTCGTACGTTGTGAAATACAAGTATTCTTGACTTTCACTTTTGCAAAATTGCCAATGAAAACGTGTAGTAAGAGTTGGAAATGTGTTTCTTTCTCAAGTCAATGGTTTTCTCATCAAAAATGCGCACTTTTGAGGAGATATAGGTGTTTCGTATATTTGTAAACGCACTTATTGTGCGCATTGAAATCAAGACTTCCGGTCCGAAACGAAATGCAGCGTGCACATTTAAATCAATGCGTGTGGGCGTGAAAGCGTTAATGGAATATCTAGGCAAATTGTCTTATCTAATTTTCTAAAGGAACCTGGTCATAAACACAAAAAGGCTTAGTATTAAAAATAAAATTACAACATTCTGTTAAGGTGTGGAAAGAAAAACAGCATAGCAGCGAATTCTATTTACGCGTGCAAAGCAGCTAAAAGTATCCCGTCAAAAAATTCCCAAGAGATATTTTAGATAGGCGATGCGAATTCTACCTAAAGCACAGGTCATATTTTTCTTTATCGGAGAGAGTAAATCGTTTACCGCTATATACAGAAGTTGTTGACGGTCCACATTTCGACGTTGTCGCACAGAGTCGAATCCAATGGAGGGGCACCACTCGAATGGCTGACTTCACTCGGCGCTGCCCCTTTATACAGCACGGTGTTGTTCGATTCCTGCCTCCAATATGATCTACTTTAGCGAGTAGTCATCCAACTTGCAGCAATTTTGGATTTTCAAGCAAAGTTTCATTAAGTCGCGACAAGAATAATCAATTTGAAAAATCCAAAAAATCGGATAGCTGAAATTTTTGTCAATTCTCCAAGAAAGCGTTATTTTACATCATAAATGTCAACCGCAAAACCTTATAGCTTATTCTCAGCCGTACAGGAAACAATCGGCGCCTTACATAAGATTGAAACGAAGTGGTAAGCACGCATGTCATGCGATGCTCCATAAATAGTTCTCACAGGACCTACGGGTTACTAGTAATGATCTCACCTTTCACAAGCGTTTGCAAACCGTCGATACCTGCACGAATCATCATTTCGGCACGTTCAGCAACTGAGAGACGCTTCATTTCAGCCAAATTTTGTCGAGTATTGATACAAAACGACACCTAAAGAAACCAAATCACTCAAAGGTCAAGATGCAGTTTATAACCAACTGTCCTAAAATTCCCTACCAAGCAAGATTCCTGCATGCAATCTTTGGCGTGATAACAATGCAATGCAGCCACTTGTTTGCACAACAAGCAGCTATCATTCACACGCTTCTTGAAAATGTCCAAGCATTGCACGATGCGTCCAATTTCTTGGAAATATACATGACGGAAATTTGCGTCTCTGCAACGGCATGCGTGCAACCAGGACATAGCACAGAGCTGAAAGTGCTGAAAATTATACCTGCCAAAAACGAATCTAAGGAAGCAAGAAAACTTTTAAAAATCGCATGCTATCTGAATTCTTTCAGGAAGGTTGTTCTAACCAGGATTGCAACTCTTGGTACTGATAACCGGCTTAATCTCTTCCGTTGCATGCTGATGATGGACAGATTCACAACACATTTTACACAATTCTAACTTATTATTTACTGCCTACTTTTTTTTAATGGCAGGGTATGTTGCAAACTATAACTTCAATGATGCCGAGATATTTGCAAAACTCCAGACCACAGGTGTCTGCGGTGGGGAATGAACGTGCTATTAACTGGGTTCGTTGTCGATTTGGGCTCCCCAGATCAATCCCGTTGACGGGTGATTGCTAATGGCAAAAAGATCGATAGAACTAGCTGAAAGACAGGCGAAACGAAGGACACGCATGGTGTGGTGGTGAACGCGTTAGCCCCCAGAAAGGGTAATAGCGCGTTCGTTTCTCACTTCAGACACCTGCGGTCCGAAATTTTGCAAATATCTCAGCATCATTGAAGTTACATTTCACACAATTCAAAATCCTGCGGCAAAGCGAAGCAATATGTAAGGACAAACTGAGCCAATTGAGAGAATATTGTCACTTTTGTTGGTTATTTTCATTGACATCGGTTCTTCCTTTCTTACTTGGTGCTTTAAGAAACACTATGTGGTGATTAACATACATCATTCATTAAACAGCGAAATTTCGTTGCAGTCGTTGCATTCATAACTCATAGCTTTATTCACATCCATGTTTTGCAATGGTTGACATAAAACTAGAGCTGAGAATCTGAAACAAGAGCAGGAGAGTAACAATCGTTTCAAGGAGGCAATTGATTTTTCCGAAAGAAGCAGTTACATTTGTAGGATCTCGATAAATTTCATGCGTTATCAAGGGATGAAAATTTGGCAAGAAGGACACGTTGGAGTGAAACTTCAGGAAAAAGTGATCTAGAATCCTTTTTTGATCGGTTTTTGTATTTGGCAGAAGGAATAGAATATTCTAGAATATTGTTTAGTGTTGGTGCAGGGATTTATTACGAACATTGTCCTATCTATCACTGTACCTTAAATAAATCTAGAACTTCGCTTTCAGCAGTCACACTGTTCCCAACTCGAATAGTTTCAATGTCTTGCAAATGTTTCTGTTTTCTTGATCGCCACCCACCTTGCTCTCCTCAGTGAGGTAAACTCTCAGTGCTCATCACGTGCTCTTGTGAAGAACGTTTCACTACTGTCCATAGAATCTTATGACACAAGTGGATCCGGATCAACGATTTTTTCCGGTAGTGAAAACGTAGGCTGTCGTGTGAACAGCCCAGTACTGAAGAACACCTAAGAGATAATGGATTAAAACAATAAAAACAATTGTTGTGCTTGTAATACATACTAACAGCAGCGATCTTAAAAAAACCTTAAAACCTGGGTTATCTTTAGATATTCCGTTGTTGAGCGGACATGAGTTTGCTAACAGGAATTTCGACGTTACAATAAAAGATAAAGGATAGAGCTCTCGGCATTGATTAATCTCTGAGGGATGCACCATGCATTCGACCTCACTGAGCATCGTTTGGAGGTAACTGGATGCATATCTCGCCTTACAATGACTCGAGGTGGCCAACCGATGTATCGGCCAATGCTGCTATCCTCCCAGACAAGTCTGGTACCAATTTGTCGAACCCGGAGGAACAGAAGGCTTGGTGAGCCATTGGCGCGGGAACGAATCCACTGCGTATTGCAGGGCCCCTCCGACCACTGCGCCATACGTATCCCTTCGATGTTCTACGGAAACGACGTCCCTTTCAAAGTGTACACGAATCCTAAACGTATTGTTATACATTACTTGATACTTGAGCCTGTCCTCACTTGGCTGTGTGAGGAAACACTCACCATGCTCGTTTTTGAAGACTAAGACTACTGTATCATGTTACAACTTAATGATAAATTAAACTCTATCAGAAAAGAATATTAATTTGAAATGAAGCCATAAGCAGCGTGGCATATTGGTCAACTTCTCTACTCACTTTGCATGTTAAACATGAAATACGTATGTATAAAGACAAATGTTCCACAGTGTTCTACATAGAGATAAACTTTCTCCATTTCACCCTAAGGCTACCATAAAAGCGAAGAAAATTAAAAGAAATAAGATTAAAGGATAAGAAAGAAAGTAAGATGCTCACGATTTCGGTCGATCTCATTGAAATGCGCAACTGTTTTCGGGTTTCCTTCAAGAAAATAAGTAGGTATGGTATATGTACTGATTTTCGATGATCACCCTTTAAGTAAGAAACTGGATTCTTAACAGAGTTCAATGCTGGCCGACCGATTCCTGTGACATGGTCTGGGGAATACAGCTGCGACGGTCGAACAAGTGGCCATATGCAGCTAGTGTCATTCGTTTCGTAACACACATTTTTTACCACGGATTGTACGCCTTAAAGTAGAGAACCATTCTATTCCACAATGTAGCGAGGTAGAAATATATCATGAACAGGGCCTATTTCTTCATTACCAAGGGTTACTCGTGAACACGTTTTACCTGCCACTATCTAGACCACATGAAAACCTGTACTACAGAGGAAAATGCGCAAAACAATGCTGTCATTTCGTTTCTTTCTCTGCCTGTCAAACTCAATGAAAATCATAGAGGAAAGAAATTGCTCAGAATAAAACACAGGTCTGTCGACATCACCAACACCGTCCAGTAGAATGTACATCTAAAGGGAAGCATAGATTGCTAGATCGAGAGATGGAAGAAGACGACGATGGATGAGAACGGCCACGCTGTGAATCACAAAAGCATGCGAACACTAAAGCACTGAAAGATGTTACTTATGGAAGCAACTCTATCCAGAGCTGGAGATAAATTACGATTGACGGAATATTTGCAGAAATCAACGTCCACGAAAAGAACACATCGATGAAGGACAATCGCGAAGGAATGAAACGAATCGAAATTGTGCTAAGGTCTGCATAACTTGTAAAGACTATTCATTCAACTATTACATTCTATTTTAGATTAATGCTTGGCAAATCTAATGGAGCTAAAGCTCCCTTGAAATGCCAAGCAGGAGTCGGCAAGCTAAACTTATTATAGAAACTGACCAGCCTATCTCATTAACATACGATGCCAATACTTTGAGTTCAATATATTAACAACAGAATAATATTCGATGCCATAAAGACGTAAATCCCATAGAATCCTAGACGTATAAAACGTAAAGTGATGCAAAGCAATAAGGCGTTCCCACATCTAGTACTATTCTAATGAAAGCCATTGCTTTTATAAGTCCATAGATACCACGGATTGCTTTGAAGGTGTATGTGCCCAATAAACAGCTCAAATTTCCAAATTTAAACAAATGTATCTCAGCTTACAAAGTAGCGAAGTGATTGGATACGAGCATATTTCCGCGCCGCGAAGGAAAACACGATGGTCTAGAAGGCACTGTTAATTTTAATGATATCGTGGTAAAATACTCAAGAATTTAAAGCTTCGAATCTAAAGAAATATTAAACAGCTTTTTTCAAAAATTTTATAACGTTATAGGTATGGAAAAATAATGGTAATGCGTATGGCGCAATGGTCAGAGACGCCTTACAACACACATGAGATCGATACCCGCGCCAATGGCCCACCAAGTCTTCCATCCTTCCGGGATCGGCAAATTGGTACCAGACTTGTCTGGGAGGATAGCGGCACTGTCTCGATACATCGGTAGGCCACCGTGAGTCATTGTGAAGGCCAGATATGCGTTCAATCACCTCCAACGATGCTTAATGAAGCCGAATGCATGGCACATCCTTCAGAAACTGATGAACGCCGAGAGCTTTATCCTTCTAAGGATAATGCAAATCTTCACCACCACAGCCGACCCAGAAAGTGAACTGGATATAAAACCTCATCTTTGGAGTAAAATTTATCAAATAGTAACAAAATAAGCTCTAGAACTAAATCAGAAAAACAGAAAATGAATGAAGTCTAAGATTACAACAGTTATATATTACACATGTTTTCACACGGAAAATAAATAATTAGAAATACAAACAATAGAAAAACGTGGAAAAACGTTTGTGTTTACCTCAAATTAATTCGTTAAAGCTGAGGAGATTCTTGGTGACCCCATGAAAGTGGGACATTGAAACATCCACTGACTCTGAGTATTCTGAAACACCACAGAATAGAAAGCTAAAAACTACACAGAATCATACAATTATCACATTTCTTCCTTTTTAAATCAATACGGAACAAAGTCAGTTTTCGAACACGTCTATTTCAGGAGGTCAACGTGTCCGGACGGCAACGAAACCACACTCAAATGTGGATAGAAGAAGAGAACCCAGTTCAGGATCACTAAAAGAGAGATAGGGAAAAAAGATAAACAACTTTAAACCATAGCACTTACAGAGAATAATAAAATAAGGTAACAATAGACCGTAACACCTTTAAGCAATAACGGACGCGTCGTTTAGCGAGGCTCCCGAATGGAAAACAAGCAAACTTTGTCGGCTGCGGACTTTCTCGTTTTTCGACAATAAAAAATATTTTTTCAATAATTAGAGCACTTTAAGGGTTGTGAACATCACACATTTGTAGGAAAGGCTTTGCTCTACCGTTTTATGGCTACCAGTATTATGAATGCTGCTCTTTACTATGTGTTAGTATTTTCCATTATGCAAATACATTGTACATTGCTGTCAGCAGGTGGAAGCACTTTATACCCCGTGTTGAGTCAATTTCGTTGTTGCTTTCACATGATTGTTAGTCAAATTACCGGCTGCCCACATCG